ATACTGCTGCAGGGACGGATACCGAAGAAATTGCAAGTGGACGAAGGTCGTGAATTTTACAATACCGATTCAAGAATCTAATGCAAAAACATGGTATTGCTATGTACTCGACATTCAGCAACTTGAAGGCATCGATCTGTGAACGTTTCAATCGTACTCTAAAAAATAATATGTGGAAACAATTTAGCTTGAAGGGTGACCATCGTTGGTTAAACATCTTATCATACCTGCTATCCTCTTACAATGGTAGTAAACGTCGAACCACTGGTATGAAACCGATAGACGTCACTGCTAGAAACGAAAAAAAATTACTGCATCGAGTGTACAAGAATTTCAAAATCAAACCCACACTTAGACTTGCAAAATTTAAAGTTGGAGACAAAGTTCGAATAAGCAAATTCAAACACATTTTTGAAAAAGGCTATACACCTAACTGGACAACGGAAATTTTTACGATAAGCCAAGTGGAGAATACCCATCCGGTGACGTACAAACTCAAAGACTACCAGGATCATCCTATCGAAGGCGGCTCTTACGAACAGGAACTTACCAGAGTCAAGTACCCCGACATATACCTTGTGGAGAAGGTGTTGAGGAAACGTGGGAATAGACTTTTCGTTAAATGGTTAGGTTTCGATGAATCGCATAACACTTGGATTAATAGGTCGGACTTATAAGGAGTTTGAAATAAAACAAAACTTACAATAATTAATTTTAATATGTATATAAAATTTATTATTTTTTTTAAAAAATATAGAAAACAAAAATATTTTTAAAAAACAAAAATATTAAAAAAACACAAAAAGTTAAAAATACAAAATATAATTTTTTTATTCCCTTAGCACTCATTCTCTGTATCGTAGTCAGAGTCCCTGCAAAAATAGATAATAATGATATTACTATTCGTGTGTAAATAGAATTGATTAATATACGCACCAATTGTAACAAACTAAACGGGGGCATCCCGAAAAGATGTCTCAAAGAAAAAATATCTTCCCCGCCCCAATCCTCCTCCTCGAAGAGGAACCAGCCGTTGTATTTACGTTGAGCCCGTCGCTCGCTCCTCTTCACCACCATATCTTTAATCGAAATGTATCCGTTAAGCTGTAACAATGAAACAACACGCCGTATTTAAATCTATATATTTTTTTAACCATGGAGCTTGATTAAACTTTTAAACCCTAACGTCTTTTTGCTTCCTAACGTTCTTCATTGTTTTACCAAAAACCGAATTATTCATCAGTTTGTAAAAGTTTTTCTCGAAATCAATTCTAGATTTTTTCCTCATCTCCGTATTTAAATCTATATATTTTTTTAACCATGGAGCTTGATTAAACTTTAAAACTCTATGAATTTTTGTTAATTTCATGCCTAAACTTAAGCATTGTTTTAAATTCTCATAATGAATGATGTATCTTTTTTTCGGTAGAAGTGTAGTCATTAACTTTCTCCCATTACATTGTGAGAGAGGAGGTACAACATGCTCAGGGCATAGTGGTAACTCTTTGTAAACTTCATGAATTGGTACGCGTTGAGGTTATGATGAAAAATTCATTTTTTTCCTTGCACACTGTTATATATTTTAACATATTTTATAACCCCATGGGAGGGTATCCGTCGTGTGAGCAACAATCACTCTCTTATCATCATTCCAACTTAATGCTGCTA